ACAGTACGTGGCAGGGTAGGCAGGAAGGAGGCAGTGAAGCAGTGAGCATCCCTTTCCCTGTTGTCACTTTGAGAATGTAAGCCTGTTGATCGGCACCACCTCTACCCATAGTGGGCCTTCCCGTGGCCCACACCCACGATCCACCCACCTTCTGAAAGTCCCACCTGTGAATGCCGGAAGCTTTGGGGGACATCAGATACAAGCCATAGCTGGGTTCTTCTGTTTTGTTTGCTCTTTCAAAGAACCAGCTCTTTCTTTTTCTTTTTCTTTTTTTTTTTTTTTTATTGCAGAACCGGGGATTGAACTCAGGCCCTTGCGCTTGTCAGGGAAGCACTTATTCTACTGAGCCATCTCCCTGGCCCAGAACCAGCTCTTTGATTCATTGATTCCTTTTATTTCTTAGTCTTAACTTCATTAGTTTTTACTCTGACTTTCATAATTTCCTTCCTTGCGCCGCGCTGATTTGGACAGAACTTCTAGCTGGTTTTCCAGGGGTTTCAGGCACATCATCACGTCACTCTTTTCGGCTCCCTCTGTTCTCCTGATATGGGTGCTCGCTGCCAGGAACTTCCTTCTTAGAATGGCTTTCCTTATGTCCCGAGGCTCTGGTCTGTTGTACTGGCACCGTTATCTCAGTCTAGGAACTGTCTAATTTCTTCCTTGAGTTCTTTTGTAGCCCATGGAGTACTCAAAAGGGTGTTCATTTAATTTCCACGCGTTTCCACAACTTGGGGGGCTCCTTTTGCCAGCAGCCTGGTGGTGTCACTGCACTACGACCTGATAGTGTGCGCGGACAATTTCGATCATTTTGCATTTACCTGAGCCTGCTTTACTGGCTAGCATGTGAGCTAACGTGGAGGAAGTCTGCTGCTGAGCAATGTGCTCCTGTTGTGAGGTGAAACACTCTACAGAGATCTACTAAGTCCATCTTTTTGAATGTTTGGTTCTACTCTAATGTGTCATTGTCGCTGCTGCTGCTGCTGCTGCTGCTGCTGCTGCTGCTGCTGCTGCTGTTTTGTTTTGGCTAGTTGACCTATTTGAAGCAGCGCAGCATTGAGTTTCCTCACTAGTGTTGGTTCTACCTGACTTTTCATGTCCAGTTTGGTCTACAAGGGTGGCCATGCTGGGTTTTGGTGCACACATGTGTATGGCTATCTCTTTTTGTAGAATTTTGCTCCTTAACCAATATGTAGTGACCTGCTTTGCCCCTTCTGGTCAGTTTTGGCTTAAAATTAATTTAATTTGCAATTTAAATATCTGCTTTTGCATTTTTCTTGGTCCCTATTGTGTGGGATATTGTTTTCTATCCTTTGACTTATTAATCTGTGTATTTCTTTTTGGATTAAATGTGTTTCTTAGATACTACATGTTACTGAGTGCTGTTTCCCGATCCACTCTGCCAATCCCCAGTATCTTTTGACTGGGGAAACTACTCATATTGACCGTGGCAACTGAAAGGTGTTCCTTATTACTGTCAAGCAGTTTCCCGTTTGCTGATTCCCCCCACCTTTCTGCTTTGCTGTTCCTCTTGCCTGTTGTATTCAGTTAGATTTTTTTTGGGGGGGGGGCATTGTTGGCTTTATTGTCTCTTTGTAAACTGAAATTTTTTGTAATATTAGTTTGCTGGTCATGCGCTTCTTGAGATGGTCTTAGTCATGGAAATACCTTGTTTCTCTGTCAATTTTAAGGTTTTGTAGGATTTATCAGTCTGGGTTGTGAGTTCTTTTTCTAGAGCTTTGAACACTTCAGTCCAACCTCTCCTGGCCTTCCAAGTTTGTATTGAGGATCTGCTACGTGCTTCTTCCAGGGCAGCCTTTGGAAGTGATTCATTGCTTTTCTCTAATAGGTTTTAAGATTCTGTCCCTGTACTGACTTCTGGAATTTTGATTAAGATGTGCCATGGAAAGGTTCTCTTTGTTCGTGGCTACCTGGGATTCTACATGACTCATTTATCTGTATACTTAATTCTTTCCAAATATTTAAAAAGTTTTTTTTTTTTTTTTTTTTTTTTTTTTTGTGGTACCGGGGATTGAACTCAGGACCCTGCTCTTGCCAGGCGAGCACTTATTCTACTGAGCTATCTCCCTAGACCCCCATGAAAAGTTTCCTGTTACTATTTCTGTAAATAGATTTTTAAGCCCATTACGCTATCTTCTAAAAGAAATAGAGCATAAAAATAGAAAAGTTAAGGAGAGAAAAGAAAAAGAGTTTGCAAAAGAGGAAAGGGGAAAAGACAAAAGAAAATTCCCTAAGCCCTGATAAACCAGCCAAGAAGAAACAAGAAGGAAAAAAATGAGTCCAAAAAGAGGAAAAAAAAAAAAACAGTACTTCTTTGTATTTTTTAATAAGTGGTGACCTTCCAGAGGCTGCAGTCTTCGAGTAAAGCAAGACAGTTTTCTCCGTTTAGCCTTGCAGCTGCAGGACTGTGAGGTGCCCCTACCAGCCGCGAGGGCCCTCTGCTTACCCCAGCTGTGGCAATGTCCCCCTAGATGTCCACTGCTTCACTCTGGTAGGTGGAAAGGCCACAGGCCCCCAGACCTGTGCCGGATGTGGGCAGCAGGGCACGGCTTCAGGATTCAGTGCTGGCTCCTTCAAACCCAGGTGTTTCTGAGCACAACAAAGCTGCGCCTGCCTTTTCACCATGGAGGGGATGAGGTAGCCATCATGGCCTTAAATTTCTCAGGGGCACTTCTTTCTAGATGACTCCCCACCCACAGCTGTCTCCTGCATCTGTCTCTGACACAGTCACTGTGGGACAGCGGCTCTGGGAGCCCAGAAGTGTACTTGTTTTAGTTGTCCTGAGTCCCAGCTACTCCTGGGTCCTGAATCAATCCCTTCCTCAATTGGCAACTGATTAAGTTCTCTGTGGCAAGATGGTGGTCATGCAGGCTGGAGTCTCTCTGTAGCTGTCAACCGTCCTGTGGACAGGCTCCCGTGGGTCACAACACGTGCTGCTTTTCCAGTTCACAGCAGCCATGGGCTCCACGGCCTTTTCTCCCTCAATCTCCCAATCCTGGGCTAACATTATTTCTAGGGAGTCAGGCTCCCCTCCCGACGAACTGAAAGCTGTTTTGTCTCTTCCTCTACCACGGTGGACCACGGCTTGTGGTCCAAATATTCTTGTCCTTCCCATTTCCCAGAAGTCTGTTTCTCTTTTGTTTGCCATGCTGTGATCTTGTACTGCCTGGTTCCAGATCTTGGAGAGGGCAGGCTTGCTGCTGATCACCATGCTGTCATTTTCCTCCCTTCCTAGCACTTTACTTTTGGATCTCAAATCCAAACATTTGAGTGCAGTGTGGTGGTACGCACCTGCAATCCCAGCCTGTAGCAGTATTATTTATAAGAATTATATTCTTTTTAATGGTTAAATAGTATTCTGTCATATAAAATAGACTTTATTTTGTTTAGCAATTCAACAGTTGATGGATATTGAGTTGTTTCCCCTTTGGGGCTACTAGCATAGAACTGCCATAAATAATCATATACGGATCTTTATCTGTGTGTATATTTTCCTTTCTCTTGGGTAGATACCTAGAAGTAAAATCTCTGAGCCATATGGGAAACTTAACTTTTTAATAAACTATTAAACTATTTTCTAAAGTCCCTATATTATCTACATTCCTACCAGCAATGTATAAAGGTTCTAAGTTTCCCATATCCTCACCAACACTTATCATTAGCTATTTTTCAACATGACCATTCTGGTAGATATAAAGTGATATCTTATAGAAACTTTTATTTATAGTTCTTTAATCTACTATTTCACCTTAACAATGCATTTGAAGTTATTCCTCATTTGAAAGACTATTCATTGAGGTTAGAATTTATCCTGTACTTACCTCAAACAAAGTAAATTTATAAAAATTGTCTAATAGCAGACCTTAAAATATTACTTACTTTGAAAGAAGGAGGAAAGGATTAGTATTATCATTTCTGTGGAGAGGATTTTGAAAATAGTATTTCATTTAATTTCTCAGCATAAGTAGAAATAGACTTAGAGTTTAAGTAACTTGCTAACTAGTAAGATAGTGATTTGGGATTTGAACCCAGGACTCTGTTATTCTGTAACTAAAGCCCAACCCACACAAATAACAAGTAAGATGCCTACAAGAAACTTTAGAATAAAAAGTTTTAAGAGTGAAATGTACTACAAGAAAGACAGGTACTCTGAAGATAACAATATGCGATAGAAAAACCATTGTTAACTCCCTGTCATCTTGTTTTTTAAATTTTTATTTTATTTAAATAGTGTGCGCCCCGGAGCCCGTGGCCGCCTGCGGTGAGCTGGAGAGGCGGCTCAGGTTGGGAGCCACGGAGCCCGGCCACAGGCAGGTTAACAGCTGGGCTCTTAGAGAGAGAGAACCTTGTTTTAAAATAGAATTTTGTAAATTTAACCAAGAGCATCTTAACGTCTTTGAAAAGTCTTACTGTTTTGTACAGACAGAATTAACCCTGAACACTATTTTCAATAACCAGTTAATGACAAGCTGGATAAACAACTATTATCTCAGTTTATGCCATACTATATTTTTAGTAATATATATGTATGTATATAAAAATAAGATATTTAATCTGAGCTTTAAAGTTAAGTTCATAGAGTTAAAACTATGTCAGTTTCATATAAAAAACAGTAACTATTGAAAGACAAATATTAGTTATCATACCACAGCATGGAATGAAAGTGCTTTAACGTGAAAGTATTTTTTATTTAATAATATATTTTAAAAAGAAAAAGAAAGAGAAAAACAAAGCAAGAGAAAACAAGAAAAACTAAACAGAATTTGAAAACAAGATGACAGGGAGTGGGCTGGTGAGATGGCTCAGTGGTCTAAAGCACCTACTTAGAACAAGTTTAGCGAAGGGACCGCGGTTCGATCCCCAGCACCACATGCCAGCCAGCCCTGCCCCCTGAACTGAAAGCTGCTGGGTCTCCTCTGCCGCCATTAACCCTTTCTCTGCCTCGATCGCCCTGACTCGCGCCTGCCCTGTTTCTCCGCCAGTGCTCCTCGAGCTGCGGGGAAGGCACGCAGACCCGCAGCGCTGTTTGCCGGAAAGTGCTGGAATCGGGGGTCTCCGCCGTGGTCAATTCTACCCTGTGCCCGCCCCTGCCCTTCTCTTCCTCGGTCCGGCCCTGCATGCTGGCGGCCTGTGCGAGTGAGTATCCGGCTGGGGGCGGGGAAGCCTGCGGCCGTGGCCTTGCCCACACCTCGGGCCACGCGAGAAGGCCAGGTGGCGGGGAGCGCAGCTGGAGCCTGAAGGAGTCGCACGCAGCTGGCCAGGCGAGCTCTCCCCTTCGCTCAGAGACGGCTTGCTTGCTCGGGCCAGAGAAATCTGGACCCCGAGGGAGCCTGTTCTGGCCGAGTCTCAACACGCTGCTCTGGGCTCTGAAACGACCCTCAGCGGGCTCGCTCTGTCGCTACTGACCCTAGAGCGGTCACTCCGGCGGCCTCCCGCACCGCCCTCGAGGGGGCCTAAGGGTAGACACTGAACGCAGGATGTGCGCCTGCCCCTGGTCCCCTGCCTCCTCCTATAACTGGGACTTACTTTGAACGCTGGTGATGGGCGCAGCTGCCCCAGCCCCTCCCCCCGGCCCCTGCGTCTCTGCTTCTGCGCATGCGCTGGTGGCCACACTGCTGCTCCGCAGTTGTCGCTTTCCGAGGGAGAGCGGTGGCGCCCCGCTGGTGCACGGTGTTAGCTAGCGCTGGGGCCGGGGGTGGGGGAAGCAGGCAACGGTGCTCCCGGCCAAAACCCAACTCCAAAACGGGGGCGGGGCCGGGGGCTTCTCTGCTGTCCCTCGTCCGTCCGGCGCCTCACGTGGGCTCTCCTCTGCTCTCTCCTCTCTCCGGCTGTCCGCCCCACCCGTCCCAGGGCCTGGGCAGCCGCCCCCAAGGCACAGCCCCCAGATCGCGGCTGCGCGGAAGGTGTACATCCAGATGCGCAGGCAGAGGAGGCTGCACTTCGTCGTGGGTGGGGTCGCCTACTTGCTGCCCAAGACGGCCGTGGTGCTGCGGTGCCACACGCGAAGGTCACACAAACCGCTCCTCACCTGGGAGAAGGACGGCCAGCACCTCACCAGCTCCGCACACGTCACCGTGGCGCCTTTCGGCTACCTGAAGATCCACCGCCTCCGCCCCGCGGACGCCGGCGTCTACACCTGCTCTGCCGGACCTGCCCGGGAGCAGTTCGTGATCCAGCTCCTCGGGGGTAACCGCAAGCTTGTGACCCGGCCGCCCAGCCTCCCAGGTGAGGAAGAGGCCGTTCCGGGCAGGAAGGCCAGCCCCAAGGAGGCCCTGCAGACGCACGGGCACCCGCACGGGCTCTTCTCCAACAGCAGCAAGGTGGAGAAGGAGGCCCTCAGCGCTGACCCGAGCAGCCGCTACGATGACCTCGTCTCCCAGCTGCTGGAGCACGGGGGCTGGCCCGAAGAGCTCCTGGCTTCCTGGGAGCTGCAGGACTTCACGGAAAGGAACGTGTCCTCAGAGGAGGACCCTGGTGCCGAGCAGGCCCTGCTGCACCTGCCCTTCACCTTGGTGGCTGAGCAGAGGCGCCTGGACGACATTCTCAGGAACCTCTCCCAGCAGCCAGAGGAGCTGCGTGACCTGTACAGCAAGCACCTGGTGGCCCAGCTGGCCCAGGACGTCTTCCGTGGCCACCCAGAGCACCGAGATGCGCTCCATACACCCTCGGAGCACAGGTCTCCCCTGGCGGCCACCCCTCGTAAGCACGTGTCTGGCTTCAGCACCTCCTTGCGGACCTCGTCTAGGGACGCGGGCAGCGGGCCACGCAGGCCACATCGCAAGCCTACGATCTTGCGCAAGATCTCAGCTGCCCAGCAGCTTTCTGCCTCTGAAGTTGTCACCCACCTTGGGCAGACCGTAGTCCTGGCCAGCGGGACACTGAGCGTGCTGCTGAACTGCGAGGCCATCGGCAACCCAAGGCCGGCCATCAGCTGGGCGCGGAATGGGGAAGAGATTCAATTCAGCAACAGGTGAGTTTGTCACTACCTTGTCTAGAAAGGTGAAGGGGGCAGGGCTACAGCACAACCAAGCAGATACCCACGTGTGTGTGCAAGGGGCGTTGGGGCGCAGGGCCTAGGGATCACCTCCATGACTCCGGACCGTCACAGCACTGGTAAGCCACTGGAGCAAACAAAGTGTAGAAGGGAAGAGCACCCCGCCTGCGCACCGCGCCCACAGAGTCCCCGTGACCAATGAAGCAGGGTCTGCACGGCCGCGCCTGTCGGCAGAGAGTGCCAGGCCAGGGCATCTCTGCGCGCACTCTCTGGGGCGGGGTGGAACTGGAGAGTCGGGCAGCAGCACCCGGCTCTGCGCGGGCTGAGGACGCGGTAGCTGCTATGCACTGCTCCCCGGATGTGAGCCTGGACCCCATCTGTGCGGGACAGAGCTTGTTCCAAAAGGCTTTTGTTCCCAGTGGACCTCCCATTAATTATCCTAATGCTTCTGGGTGTCTCGGCTTTGAAGGGTCTTCGTGAGGATGCAACATAATCATGTACTGACCTCCTCGGGCCCTTAACGTTAAAGGCCAGAGTGGGCGAAGTCCTACAGCGGTGCTTTCTGAACACAGCCCGCAGGTCGGGTACTTGCTTCCGGCGTGCGCTGGCTCTTGTCTCTGCACGGCCCTGAGCACGTGGCAGCCAGCAGTCCAACTGGGTAAGCGCCGTTGCAAGGCAGTCTTCTCCCTCCTCGTGTTCGTAGACGCTACAGAGCGTGAAAGCCCTTCCGGTGGTGGAAACCAGGAGTCTCGAACACAGTAGCTTCAGCGTTCGCGGCGGCGCACGCAGTTTCCGCGTGTTCGGCACATCCAGGTGCAGCGAGCACCTGAGCTGGGGGTGCCGGCTTAAGCCCGCCTCACCTCCCCACTTCTTAATGTATAATATAGTAACTTGAGCAGGCAGTAAGAACGGGCCACGGGAAAAGGAAAAGGAGTGGAAGAAAACCATCATTGCTTCATCTGTTAAATATTGCCAACCTTGACTGGAAAGAAATTAGTTTTAGGAAAGGATCACTAATAACTCGTAATTACTAAGTCTGTCTGTATTCACTGCTGCATTTTATGTCCATGTCCTAATTGATCATTTTATCATAGAGTAATACAGGAACTATAAAATAATTGAAATAATATCAAAATCTGTAAAGTGAGAAGGACAAGTCTCTCTCTTCCCCCAATCTCTGGAGGTTATCACTCTTAATAGTTTGTAATACATCCATTTAGAATTTTTATGCATTTTATTATATAAAAATATAAGGAGCTGGGGAGATAGCTCAGTAGAGTAAGTGCTTGCCTGGCAAGTACAAGGACCTCAGTTCAATCCCTGGCTCCAGCAAAAAAAAAAAAAAGAGAGAGAGAAATATATACAGATAGGGTTTGAATTTTTAATAGGATATTAGTCATGTTCAGAAATATGACTCAGTTTTTATTTCATGTGGCACGATGGTTTTGCAATCTCAGGCAAAAGAGATCAATGTCACCTTTTTAACAGCTGATTACTGTTCTTGAATGTGTGTATCCCCAACTGAAAATATATAGGGGCATTCCATTTTTTTCACTCTTCAAAACATTCTGACATATGTTGTGGCTTTCTAAGTGGGCAGTGGATGGCACAAAGTGCTTTTAAAATATTCCTTTAAAAACTTGGGGCCTTGGCAAATTTAGGAACACCAACAATTCTTGGAACAGCACTTAGGAACTCTCCCTTAGTCTTTTAATTTTTACTTTTTGAGCAAAGAGACCCTAACCTGACTAACTCTAATATGGAGAAAGGTCAGCAAACTTTGGCTTAAAAAAAAAAAAAAAAAAAAAAAAAAAAAAGCCACCCAGTAGCCAGGTGCTAAGAATATACAAAAAATGAGTTGGGCATAAAACAACAGAGACCACATCCTGGGCCCTTGTCACCCAGAACTGGCTGGGGAGGAGCCGCACAAAGAGGGGAGGCGAGCCGAAGGCCGTGCACAGGCCTCGCGTCATCAGTTCTCTTCCCCAGATCTAGTCTTGAAAAGGCTTTTCAGGGTAAGTTCATTGAATGCAGACAGGAGAAGGGATCGTTGTTTCTGACGTTTGGCATAACCACTTCGTTTTACTTGAGTACTAGTAAGAAATACAGATGGAGCTTAGCTTGCTATAGAGCTTTTCAAGTTCTATTTGAGAAATGGGGGTGAAGATACTTGCTCAGAGCATGCAGGAGGCACGAGGCGCCAAGGGACCACTTCGCTGTGGACTGTTGGTGACCTCTTCCGTGCTGGCGTCATCCCTTATCATCATCCCTATGGCTGGTGGCACTTCAGAGATGCTCACGTGTTTTCAAGCAGAGAAGCGCTGCCATGCCCGCTGCGTTAGCTCAGTTCATCTGTTTCTGCTTAGTCCCCAAATCCACCTTTCTGGGAGTCTGCAAGATTCAACTTCCTGTTGCTGTGTAGGGCTTTGAGACTTCTTAATGTATACTGTAAATAACTTGGACTAGCAGCAAAAATGGGCCAAGGTAACAGGAAAGTGAGTGGAAGAAAACCATCATTTCTTCATCTTTTAAATATTCCAAATATTGATTTGCAAGAAATTAGTTTTAGAAAAGGATCACTAATAACTCATAGATTACTAAGCTTCATCCTATGTGTAATTCATTGGCTGAAATAAATGCGCATGGTTTTTAGAACTGTCACCAGTGTCTGACTCCAAACTGGGTCTTTACCTCTCTTAAATTCAGGAAGCAATAACAAGTCTGAGCCCAGATTGAGCAGCAAAGGGAGTTTTATTGTTGGCCAAGGATGGAAATGAAAGGCAAATTAACAAATCAACTTCTCTGTCCATTGGTGTCGGGAAGCCGTCAATCTAGGATAAAAGAAATGAGGGGAAGGAATAAGCTAAGGCAGGGAGATAGAAGCATCGTTTCTGATAATGAGCGCAGATTTCCTAAAAATTGAGGCCTCTTTTGGTCCTTTTGCAGTTCCTCGTGGTCACTGTCCATGACAACTGTCACCTATCGTGGTGCTGGGGGAGATGTGCCACTTAGCAGAGGTGCAGTTGTGGTGAACTTAGAGGGGGCCTTGTTCCTCTGGCAGCCACCTCAGACACAGCAAGTCTTGGCTGGCCCACCTCAAGGGTGACTTCTGCCTGCAGGTGTCCTGTCCTCGAAGATCAACAGCGTGAGGACAGGAGAAATCTAGCTAGGTCAAGCGAGCAGCGGGGCCGTGCAGCAGAGCCACACTGCCTGCTGCAGCAGCAGCTTCCAGGGCGCGTTGCACGTATTGTGCAGTCTGGCTGGTTAGAGCCCCCACCTTCGGTTGTCAACAAACATTCCAACTTCAGACCCCATGTTGGGTTCTGAGGGTGGAGGCAAAGAAAGCGAATTTCTTGAGGTCAGCCAAATAGCTCAGTGGATTAAAGCACCTGCAAGCAGGTGCAGAGGCCAGGCTTCAATCCTCAGGCCTGCCGTGCCGGAGCCTACCCCTGGGGTGCACTGAGACTGAGATGGAGACTGGGCATGGCGGCATGCACCTGTAATCCCAGCTCTTGGGAGGCTGTAAACAGGCAGATCACTAAAAGTCTGATCTAGTAGTGAGACCCTGAACACCCTGTAGACCCTTCCCTAATAAATACAAAAAGCAAGCAAGCATTTCCTTATTGAGGGAGCCCAAAATCTAGTTAGGAAGCCAGAGCAAATGCAGAATCAGGAGGGCTGAGCGGGAGGTAGGCCTAAATATTCCTTGTGTGAGTACTTAGTGATCTGCCTACCACGTGGCGGGCACACATCCATCCCCTGGCCACACTGTGGTGAATGAAAAAGGAGTTTTGGGCTCCCTCAAGTTGACATGCATTTTGAGTTCTACTCAAAAAGCACAAGTCAAAGCTTCCCTGGTTCTCCAGGGAAAAGGGGCCCCCTTGTATCTCTGTCTCCTCCACTTGTTGTTTAATTTATATAATTTCATCATCATCTGTTGTGTCACATACTTATTCGCAGACTGCCTTCCGTGAAGGGAGCGGCTTTCGCCCTGCCGCTTCCTCAGCGCTGACGATAGTAACTGGCACTAGATTGCTCAAAACTAACACAGTAGTCACAAACTGAGGAATGACTGGTTTGGAAAAGCGAACACAGAGAGCACACATCAGCTGATGATAACTGTTTTGTTTGGGTGTAAAATTAAAGCCCAGGGTGTAACTTGGTGGCCACCGTAGGCGTGGACTCTGCGGAGGTTGCGCGTGCGCCATGCACTGAATGACGAGCAGTGACAGGAAGTGACGGTGACCGCGAGCCCTCCCAGGCCGGGGCTAGCCTGCGGCCCCAGAGCCGGCAGC